TGTCGACGTTCTTGGAAGATTCTTATTTCTTTTCATTTCACACAAGTTTATTTTGATATAGTCACTGTGACTCACAAAGGAGCATAAAATGATTACAAATGCGCACAAAGTGATTCAGAAGTAGTTTTAGACCTCTGGGAACCTTTGGAGCGTCTCGAGAAAACTTTTTAGATTTATATTCGATTACGAAGCTTACACATCAAATCAGAGAGATATTCATGACATATTGTAGATGGTCCACTAGCGAACACCGACGAAGGGAGATGTTAGCATTGTTAGCTAATTAGCTTTATATTACATTAGACCGTTTTATATTACAAAATGTATAGCTTTATATTACATCGTGCGCTTTTTTCATGGGATCAGAGAAGTTCACAACATTTCTCATCTTTCGTGGGTGCGAATGCCGACCGAAGGGAGGCGTGAGCATTGTCTGCCCTTCAGAAGTATTTTAGATCTCTGGAGATCTTTGGAGGGTCTGGAGAAAACTTTTAGCTTTATCATCATGCGCTTTTCCCATCGAATCAGAGAAGTTCACAACATTTTTGATCTTTCGTGGGTGCGAATGCCGACCGAAGGGAGGCGTGAGGGTGAGGACCTCGTTAGTATTTGATACACTGAAGACTGTAAAGATAATAGAAAAAATTATCAAAACAAATCTAATGTAAAATACAGATAAGAAATTGTTACTCAATCAATAAAACAAAAACAAAAATATCAATAGCTATTTTAAAATATTTTGATATAACAATGCATCACTCGGTCTGGTTACTCGTTGGTCACTATTATTTAAACATGGTTGTAAATCAGACAGAACGATTGAACGATGTCTTGTCATGAAAAATGTTTGATTTATTTACATTTGATTTAGTTTACATTTTTCAACAATAGGTGCCACGGTCTATTCCCGTTTCGTCGAATGCTTAATTAATAAGAAGAAAACACTATAGGTTCTTTCACTGAGATTTCAAGTTTAAATTAATTATCTAGGTAGCGTATGTCAAAGCTAGAAGCTAAGCGGTTCCAAAAATGTCGGCTTCCAATCTTGGCATCTAGTTTTCGTTCTTGTTCATAGTCTCTTTGATGCAGACATAACCAGGCAAGCCTTTTTTGAGTCAACGCGCTTTGAAACGCGTTAGTTTGGACGGGTAACGCGTTCTCATACGTTTTTGGTGAAAATGAACGCGTTTTGATGCGTTAGTGTACTATAAATGCATCGAAACGCGCTCTGACGCGTTCGGAAAAACGGGCGCGTCAAGATGCGCTAATTATCAACGCGTTTAGCAGAGTGAATTTTGACCGCTTCAACACGTCAGTTTCTAACGCACATCAACGATTTTCAAAAAATACAAACGCGTTGGTCAAAACTCATCCTGATAAACGCGTTAGAAATTTACGCACATCAACACGTTTTTTTGTCAGAAAAGGTTTGCCTGGGTATCCATAGATGTGGATTGAAAGAAAGACCTCTCTATATACAAAGACACGCACATTAAAATCTACCTCAAAGCAGAGAGTTGTTTTCTTCCCGTGCTTATATATAACTTACATATACTTCTCTCTTTTATATTACGTGACGCAGAAAGTTCATAAAAAGGTAAATGGGAACAAAACGTTACACTAAAACGCAACGACGTTAATTCTTTACATGTTTCAATCGGTTATCGGAAAAAAACGTTTTTGCTTACAATGAATTATCTTTTTTCAGAATAAATAAAATAAGTTTTTTCTTTATGGATTAGGGAAAACATGACTTCTTCAGTAGAAAAATCGTAAATCATTTAATACGCTATCATTTAACAAAAGTGTATTTAGAAGTATAGACTGTAGTAATTGGTTCATGTATAAAATCCAATAATTGTATATAAGATTAAGACTTACATTTTTAGAGTGATAATATTCATTTATATTAAATGTCCGGATTAAATATTCAACAATGTCAATCATATCGTTACTATAGAATTAAATACGAAATGTCATTGGATTCGTTGTTGAAATAAGTGTTTGACTTTAATTATCTTGAAGATTATAAATTATTGAAGGATCCTTCACTCTGAAAAGAAAATACTAAACTTAAATCTTTAACTTTTGTTAATAAAAAATACTTTAAAATCTGAAAATCGAATTTGCATTCAGTTACTGTCAATCGTTTAAGATTTTTTAATATAGTAGTCGATTTACTTTCAAAAAAAATATCTCAATAGGTATGAATAATCAACATATAATACATATAAATTTCCATAATCGATTGATAAGAAAATTATTTTTAATAATTTTTAATTTATAAAATATGATAAAATTGACGTAATCTGGTTTAATGGTAATAATGAGACATCATCTACAGGTAACAGTTCTTCTGATGGTAATAGACTTTCAAATCTTGAACAATTAGGTATACCCAAACCTAAAATGACATGATAATGCAATATCTTTTTAAAATGCACTTTATCATATGTGTACATACATTTACTTATGTTTAGTTTTTTATTTTAATACATCTTTTAATTGAAATGATAATAATTGAAGAACAATTGTATTGACATGAAAAAAAAATTCATTATTTTTATTTTATAATTATAACTAAAAAAAGTCGATGAAATTGAATTTGTTTATAGGGGGTATTCTTGTTTCGTCGACACTAATTTCTTGCTCGTTTCGTCGACACTTTTTTTATCTTGATTCGTCGACAAAATGTTTTTAATCAATTAAACTTGATTCTTGTTTCGTCGACACTTTTTTTTATCCG